ACTTCGCAACCTCGGTCGTGACGTACCGCGGCCCAGTTGGATCCCAATAAATCCACATCTGGTCGCACCCGAAAGGGACATCCACCCTGAAATTTCTGCCGTCGACGCCCGTAGATGGACCGCATACCCAACTGCTGTTGCCAGATGGGGCTGGAACGAAGCGCCGTGCACGGTCAGAGTCGATGAGAATCTGAAACTCCTCGACGCAGCCAGGATGCACGCGGACCTTAGCTCTTTGCACGCGAGCGCCGTCGAGAGGATGTCGGACCTGTCTTCTGTTGAACGGGAGGAGCTCGTGGGTCTCCCGCCAGTTGCTCCAACTGCCAATCATCGAAAAACAGAGAACGGCACAAACACAGACTTCCTAGAGGCCTCCTACATGGGGTCGGAGTAGATGGGGTCGGAGGATCGCGCCGCATCGGCGATGCATCGGCGATGCATCGGCGATGCACCGGCGATCCATCGGCGACGTCGGCGATGCATCGGCGACGTCCACGTGAAGGAAGTCGGGTTCCGCATCGGGCTGCATCGGCGATGCATCGGCCATGCGGCGCGATCCTCCGACCCCACCTACTCGGACCCTATCTAGGATTAGGTCGGGCATGTCCTCCTGCAGGCGGATTTTGAAGGCACATGCGGAATAGCCACAAATGCTCGAAAATCTTCAAAAATGGTAGAACATCGTCCCCTGACTGAGTTCTGAATACGTTTGAACCTTCCTCCTGTCGAGGGACAGGCCCAACTGAAGCCCAGAAGCAGACCTCCGAACGTCCGCGCAAGCTTCTTGGGTCGGCGCCGGACTCCTCTGCTCCCCGGGAACACGTGGAGCGTGCAGGGGCGGCGCCAGAGGTGCCGCCAGGGGGGGGTCCAGCGCCGACACGCGAAATCCGCGCGGACCTCAGACAGTTCATGCCTATACATATGTACATGTAGATATGCATACATATATATAACACATGCATGCATGCATGCATGCATGCATGTGTTATATATATGAGAAACATATGGATATACATATACATAGATATACATGTATATACATATGTGTACACACTTATACATATATGTATATATGTATTATAAACGTATACACGGTCGGGAACGTGTGCTCCGCGTGTCGCGGCGGCAGCCCCGGCGACACGCTGCGCCTTCCAGGGGGGGCAGCGCGGCGCTCCGCCCTGCACGGCAGCAGGCCGGGCGAGGCCCGGGACGCTGGCGCCTGGGAGTGCGGACACGGTCCGCGTGTACTGCGGGATGACGATTAATAAAAAAGGGGAGAGAGAGAGCGATGACAAAAATAGTTTTCTGCTATTTTCTGCACCATTTTTCATCGGCCTGACCTAAGGAACGATAAATAAGGAACGAAGCCCCTTGTTTACCCCAAGGGATAACGCATAAGGAACGATAAATAATAAACAACGCATGAGGAACTGTAAATAACGCATGCAAGCCTAAGGAACGACCGAGCCCCTTTTGAAAAGTAAGTGTTCCTTATTCAAGCCGCTCACTGTAATGCGGGATGACGATTCATAAAAAAAGGGGAGAGAGCGATTACAAACATAGTTGTGTGCAATTTCCGCACAATTTTCTGACTGGAGGAGAACGATTCAAAACATAATTTTCCAGCCCGCGGCCGGTTTTTTCTAATCGTCATCCCGGGCGCCGCCGCGTGAACACGACCCCCAGTCATTTATTAATCGTCATCCTCCATTAGCGCCGAAGCGCGGTGGGCCTGAACTGGCATCGCGACACTAGAGGCCTCCCAGAAGGGGTCCGAGCCCATGGGGTCGGAGGATCGCGCCGTCGCCGAGGCATCGGCGAGGCGTCGGCCGACGTCGGCGATGCATCGGCGCCGTCGGCGTGGAGAGAAGATCGGGCTCCACATCGAGCCGCATCGCCGACGCATCAGCGGCGCATCGGCGCGATGCTCCGACCCCACCTGCTCGGATAGGGGGCCACATGTGAACCCCACCCCTACCCCCCACGACTTCTGAGGGGGAGGGCGGGGTTCACTTCGTTCGGGAGCTCCCGAGCGAAGTGAACCGCACCCTCCCCCTCTCAGAAGCCGTGGGGGGTAGGCGTGGGGTTCGCATGTGGCCCCCGATCGGACCCCACCCGGGAGGCCTGCGAGGGTGGCGCGCCGCAGCGCGCCCAGGGGGCCTGCGCCGGCGGCGCGGCACGCCTCGAGCAGACGCTCCCGGCCGCAGCGCCCTCCTCTGCCCTTCGAGCTCACGGAGAAGCGGTCGGCCACGCTCCACGCCGCCCGCCGCCTCCGGGGCGGCGGGCCGCGGCACGCCGCCACGGCGGTCTCCAGCTCCCGCACCAGCTCGGCGACCTCGGCCTCCGCGCAGCCTCCCGGGGCCAGGGCGCGCCTCGCCCGGTCCCGGGCGGCGCCGTCCATGGCGGCGAGCGCCCGCGCGAGGGCCTGCTGGTCGCTCTCCGCCCGGGCGATCGCGGGCATCCTCGGCCGCACGCCGTCGCACAGCGCGTGCCGGATGTGGGCCTCGAGCTCCAGCTCCTCCCGCCGGCCCTCGGGGAGCCGCTGGATGTCGGTGTCGCCGGCCTCGGAGAGCGGCGCGGCGGCTAGGGGGTCCGCGGACATGAACATGGACAGGCGGCCGTCTGGGCCGCCGGAGAAGTTCAGCCGCAGGTCCCACTGCGAGCTCGGGGGCACGGGGAAGAGGACGCCGAGCATGCGCTCCGCGGCAGCGGGCCCGCGTATGAGGAGGGCCGACGCGCCGCACAACCGCGCGACCCTGGCAATGGCCGGCTCTGGGCCGCTGGGCCCCTCCTTGGGCAGGTCGCCCACGAGGGGCTCGGAGAACGACTTGGAGCGGATGTACCCAACGGCGCAGACGTCCCACCTGGGGTCAAAAGAGTCGAGCGCCTCCAGGACCGCGCCCAGCTTGCGCAGGAAGCCGTCCACGTAGGCGGCGTCGTCCTCCACGACCAGGCAGCAACCACTGTCTGCAGGTCCTTGCGCGAGGCGCAGCAGCACTCCGTGCCAAGTCAGCCACAGACCCACCGCCCCTGGCGTGAGCGCCATACCGCGCACCTCCCTGGGGGGCGCCAGCGCCTGCTTCGCACCCTCTGCTGTCAGAATGTCTGTGCTGATGCCAGCCACGTCCAGGATTCTGCCGTCCACAGCAGAGACGCGCTCCTGCAGGCCTCCGAGCCCCGCGAGCGCGAGGGCCGCCAACTGAGACTCTGCGCGGTCCTGCCTGCGGTCCAGATTCATCCACAGCACGCGCTCCAAGCGCGAGGGACGAGCAGCCCCACCGCTCGAGAGCAGCATGCTGTCCAGAGGGGCAGAAAAGATCGACGACGCACCAACGTCCCGCTACCGACCAAATGCGGTCGCCGTTTGCGGCAACACACGCTCATCCGCCATCGTGTCGCCTGGCACGTTCAGGCGTGTCGTATTGACAGTGCTGTCTGGACAGGCTTCTGCTGATTTCCCGATCTGCCCCCCAGTGCCCCGTACAGTACGGACCCGACCACAATAAACTTTCCATTTAAAAAAAAAAACCACCCTGAGACCCCAGGACGTCCACGGATTGTTGGTGTGGGAACGTCACGCTCTCAATGGCAGAACCATCGAAACCCAAGAAACTCAGGGCAAACTGGAAAGTAGCATGGTGATTCTTGGCATGGGTTTCCACTGTAGGTCCCCAGGCGTGCAAGCCGTCCCCCGGCAACCTCCCGCATCTTTGACGGCCCTGACGCCCGGCCAAGGCACTCTCAAGACGGCCAAGGGGGGCCCCGAGGGAGAGGGCTACCATATGTTCCCAAGACGTATCCTAGTTCCTCCTCCTCCTCCTTTTCCTCCTCTTCCTCCTCCGCCTCCTCCTCGTCTTCCTCCCCCATTAAGAAGGTCCACGAGGGTAGCGCACCCCCAGGACACAGCAAGGTACAGATGATTATGCATACTCGCTCATGGTCCACACATCGCCCCCCCGTCATCCCCGACAACTAAGACCATGCGCGCGTACTCGTTTACCTGAAAAAAGAGCCTGTTGCACAAATCCGTTACAAAACAACATACGTTTCACACATGCGCGCACATGTAAACATCACAAAAAAGAAGTTGTTGTGTAAGCGTGTCAAGATAACATCAGCCAAATCCCGTCCCAAAGCTGGCAATTGCTCTGCCTTCGCGCAATTGTGAAGATCATGGGAAAGCCGTGCGACGCTTAGAAATTCCGTCCAGTGTCCGCGTTCTCATCACACCACGCGGATCACCTGAAATGATCTAGCAAGCGCCCCAATGCACAAACACGTCTCACATGTTCGAAGCCGCTCGAGGCGAAAAGTTCTTATGCCCCAGCGCCTTACTTTGCTCTGGGGCAAAGGACCTGATATGGCTGCTGATGTTCCCTCCCTTCCCACCTCCCTATCCGCCGCAGCTGGACTTGACGCAGCAGCGCGTTCAGTCCCAACCTTGGCTGCGGCGACGCAAAGGGCAGGACGATGACGTCGACGACGACGAGGAAGTCGAGGGCGAGGACGAGGACGACGGCGACGACCAAGCAGACTAGCCAGACAGTCCTGTCAGACCCAGCCAGGTAGACCAAACAGACCAGCCAGGTAGATTAACCAGACGAACCAGACCAGCCAGCCGTTCGGACCAGCGAAGCACAGAACAGACAAAACAGACCAACCAACCTGCCTGGACCAAGCAGACTAGCCAGACCAGCCAGCCAAACTTGCCAAGTAGATCAACAAGATCAGGCAGACCAGCTAGCCGTTCAGACCAGCGAAGCCCAAACCAGACTAAGCAAACCAACCTGCCCGGACCAAGCAGACCAGCTAGACCAGCCAGTCAGACCGGCCAGGCAGACCAACCAGACCAGTTAAGCTGGAGCGTAAGTCCCAAGCATCAAGCTTGCTCTGTTGAAGCTTGGCGTCCCGCCGTGTGCTAGTCTAGTTGGTCTGACTGTTCTGGTTGAGTCCACGTTTTCGTAGCTTTCGTCGCTCGTCGTGCTCATCCGTGGTCTGAATTCTGTCTTCCTTCTCCGTTATTTGTCCTCTCTCCCCCTCGCAAGTTCGTTGCCCATTCGGCTTATGTTCCATCGCTTTCCGATTCAATCGGGACCAGACCAGTCAGACACCGGCCAAGACCAACCAGACCAAGCAGACCATATGCAAAATATGCAACGTAGTAAAACACATGCAGAGCAAAAACATAACTGCAGATCTTGAGCTAAAGCTCCAGCGCTAAGCTCAAACCAGACCCACCAGACCAGCCACACCGGATGCAGCAACAAAAAACTGAAACGCAAGACAAGCCGCAAAGCAAAACAACTGCAATGCAAAACAAACTGCATTTCGGTCGTAATCGTTGGCGCTGCCAGTGGTGCCCTCCAGCCTTTATAGGCACCGCAGAACAAGCTGCAAAACAAGCTGCAATGCAAAAACAACTGATACGCAAAACAAGCTGCAAAGCAACAAAACAAACTGTTTCTCGGTGGTCGCAGTGGTTGGCGCTGCCCTCCTGGACTTCCTCTAAGCCACTCTCGCCCGAATCCCAAGCTAAGGCTTCAGGCCTGAGCTCAAACCAGACCAACCACACCAGCCAGACCAGCTTCAAAACAAGCTGCAATGCAAAACAGAAACTGCTAAGCAGAACAAGCTGCAGTGCAAACGCCACTGTTTCTCGGTGGCCGTAGTGGTTGGCGCTGCCTCCCTAGACCTCCCTTCTCGCCCGAATCCTAAGCTAAGGCTTAAGGACTAGGCTCAAGCCAGACCAACCAGACCAGCCAGCCCAGATGCAACACAAACAGCAATGCAACAACAAATGCAATGCTAAAGCAACCGTTTTTCAGTGGTTGTAGTGGTTGGCGCTGCCTCCTTGGACCTCCCCTAAACCACTCTCGCGAGAATCCTCTGCTAAGGCTTCAGGACTAAACTCCAACCAAGTCCACCCACACCAGCCAGACAAGACCTGAAGCTTCAAGCTCTAGCTTAAGGCTGAAGCTTCAAGTTTGCTCTTTAAAGGTTGGCGCCCCGCCGTGCGCTACAGGGCTAAGAACTTTATAACCATGCGGGCCACACAGGCACGCCGCCAGGCGCGTGTAGAAATCAGTCCAAAACCCTTGGCGTTCGAAGCATGTCAGGATTGGAATCGTCAACGCACATCGAAAGCCGAATGTTGTTCAACCAAGAGATCTGCCACAATTCTTGCGCACGTCTTGAACGTCACCGTCGTCAGCGCCATCGCAACACCACAATTATCGTCATCGTCGATCGCCGACATTGCTGCCATCATTAGTCAAATACCTTCACCATCGACACGTTGACATCGTCGTTATCGTCGTCACCAACATCGGTACCGTCATTGACCGTGTCGTCGTCATCGTCAGCATCGCGACCACCATCGCGACCATCGTCATCGTCATTATCATACCGCGCCAGCGTGCCACGCGCGCCAGCGCGGCTTTTGAGACGCGCAGGAGAGTTCCCACCAGAAGGCGCAATCGGAGCCGCATCACCTGTGCCAAACCATCTGGCCGCACTGTGCGCGAGCGTTCGCGCGCCAGCGCGGCCGCAGAGATGCGCTAGCAAATGCGACTCGGCAACCGCAATCGTGGCCGCATGGGTGTTGCCAAACAAGTTGCGGTTGGGAGGGTGGGATGCTTGCGCGAGCAGTGGAGTTGACGGCCTCAAGTTCTGCAAAGTGCATTGCACCACATAGCTTGCACGACGTAAAATGCACCACATAGATTCTCTGTTCGAAAAAAGAACAGATGCCACCCCTTCCAAACCCAGACTTCACCGGCCGCCCTGGGCCACTGCAAATTACGCACCATGCTCCCTCATAGCTAATTTCCCATGTGAGCTCATACCATCGCAACCGACTGGTTATGCCCCCCATCATCCGTGTCCAATAATACTACGCGCCACGCAGGAGTCACATGCAACAAATACAAAGCCTACGCGCGCATGCACCTGTCAGAGTCGCATCATACGTTTTAGGGTTGAAGGCACTTCAGGATACAAGCATCCACAACCACCGGCTTTCCATCATAAGTATTGCAAATTCTCTGCCCGCGTTCACATACTGAAATCATGTGAGAAGCACACAATTTGAGGAATATCGACAAGACCCCGCACATTCCTCTTACCACGCGGTTGATCTGCTTTGATCCGGCGTGCACGGTTCCGTTCAAGTAATACCATACGGCTCGCACGCGCGCGCCGCCACGCGCGTGTATCGAAATCATTACAAAACCATGTGTCCTCGAAACATAAAAGCAGAAGTTAAAACATATATACATATATATATATAACAAGTTTCCGCACAAGCAGACCACTTCAAGAAAACAACTCGCAACCCAGAAAGAGCTATCGGCACAAACATCTCCAACGATCACCGCTCGCACACGGAAAACATATCAACTGTCAAACATTCGCAGCTGGACCCCAGATAACGGCAATACCTCGCAGCATCGCCGTTGCAAACATGCCGACTTGAACCTTGAACCACAATGTATACGGACTGGCCAGATCGGCAAGCTGCTGCGTCCCATGCGATCCTGAGAGCCCCAGTGCCTGAAGAACGAGCATGGCGACCCTGGCTGCTGTTCTGAGCATGGCACAATACCCAAGGACGCTGCGCACAGACGCTAAGTATAACCGCGCCCACGTGAGTGATAAACAGCAATGAATCATCAAGATCTGCGCTGCCGCATACTCCGAGCTTCTTAATAAGCGTCGCGCGGGCGTCATTCCCGCCGACAGCCCCACATCGACCCCCGTTGCGGGCAGCCACCGCGCGCCGCAGGCGCTCCGACCCCCGTCGCGGAGCGACGACGAGGCGAGGTTGACCCCCGTCTGGGGGGGAGGGGTACCCCCCCCCACGCTGATCAAGAAACCCAGAGCAGGACTGGGGGGGCGGAAGAACTTCGGCGGCGGGATGCCGATCAGCGGCTGGCGGCCCCTCCGCGTGGCCCCGATGCGCCGTGCCTGGGTCGCCCCGACGGGTCTGGGCTCCTGGTGCTGCCCCTTGGCCGCTCGACCGCTCGGGCGCCGCCCCCCGCGCGCGCGCCGCCCTGCCGGTCTCTGCTCGTTTCCCGCCCCGCTCTCCGTCTGATGTGCCACAGTTGCATCAGCCCTTGGCCTCGGAGAAGGGGGAGCAGCAGGAGGAGGAGGAGGAGGAGGAGGAGGGGGAGGAGGAGGAGGAGGAGGAGGAGGAGGAGGAGGAGGAGGAGAATTAGGAGGAGGGGGAGGAGAAGGAGGAGTCTCGCCCGTCGGGAGCCTCGTCTTGGTTGAACGCCTATCTGAGCAGGCCCCGTAGGTGAGGGGCCCCGCGGATGGCAATACCAAGCCTGACCTTTGCGCTGAGCAAGAGAGCTGGATGGGACAGGGCGGGCGCGCAGAACGAGTGCAGGCAGTCGAATGCTATAAGACAAGATGTAAGAGCTGGATCAGTACCACGAGGCAGCCGGGGATGAAGGAACTCAAAGGATCATCACCCCATCCCTCGGGCCGAGCAGGTAGAAGACGACGAAGAACAGGAGTGATGATAGGGCATCATGCGTCCTCCGACGCATGCGCGGCCAAACTTCCGGTTCTGAACACCCTGTCGGAACCGACGGGACGTGTCCGCAACAAGCACAAATGACAGGACCGTCTCGCTGCCTTGCAAGATAGTGATGGAGTGGACTGGGTACTGGCCCGGGACATCTGAAGGGACCCACTCTTTCAACCTGCGAGCGACGATCTGAGAGATGGGATCCGTACGCAAGTCTGGAGTGATGAACTTCACGAGTTTCCTCTGATCGTTTCTCCTGCTGAGATCCACTGGGAGCCTGGTGAAGTATTTTGACCCGCGGAAGCGGAGGAGGAGGACGACGACGACGACGACGAGGACGAGGACGAGGAGGAGGAGGAGGAGGAGGACGAGGAGGACGACGAGGAGGACGAGGAGGAGGAGGAGGACGAGGAGGACGACGAGGACGATGACGAGGACGAGGAGCGACCGTACCAACGACGAGGACGAGGAGGAGGAGGAGGAGGAGGAGGAGGACGACGAGGACGAGGACGGGGACGGGGACGAGGCGCCCACTCCTCGAACGCACAGTACGAGAGCGACGGGTGCTGTCGGCCTGCGCCCCCATAGAAGAAGCGCACGCTGGGCACACATCGTGCGCGACGCTGGGCGCCCAAGTGTGCGTGAGAACGGGTTCAACAACACGACACGCGAGCGGAAGAAAGAAGAAAACGTCTCTCTCGTCTCGGCGCCGCGCAGAGTTCGCCTGAGCGTGGCGCTCCCTCCTCGACGCGGCGCACAGGAGCTACGCTCGACAGGTTTTCTTGGGGAGGCGAGGGGGCACGCGCGAGTGGGCGCCTCGTCGCCCGTCACTAGGGGGCCACATGCGAACCCTACCCCTACCCCCCACGATTTCGGAGGGGGAGGGGGGGGGTCACTTCGCTCGGGACGAACGAAGTGAACCCCACCCTGCCCCTCCGAAATCGTGGGGGGTAGGGGTAGGGTTCGCATGTGGCCCCCTGGTCACGCGTGCCGTGGCAAACATACCCATCTACCACTTGCAAATGTGTAGGACGAGTGGGCATCCCGGGCCCGTCGCGCTCATGCAGAACCCACAGCGCAGCTGGAGCTTGAAATCAACGAGGGAGACATCAAGCAAAATCCACCGTCCACCACGCGCGCGATTGGCTCCAAAGGGCCCCACGAGGTCTCCAAGTTCACCATTGTGGGTCTCATTGGTTCACCACATGGGTCTCTTCTCTCCTTCTCCCGATAAGTCGCTTGGGCACCACTTTGGGATGGGGTGGTGTGGGTACGCGAAGCGCCAGAAACTAAGTTCAATGTAACAAGAATATGTGAATGCTCACCTCTTGCCGTTCAGATGCCAATCCTCCCTTGGAACAGTTGGAAATCAAAGGTGCATGCATTCTATGCAGGTGAAGTGGTTCCTTGCCTGCGGGGGGCACTGAGGTGCTGACACGTGCCCGATGCAAACCAATAGCTCTGCAGGCAAGTCTACCGTCGCGCTTGAGCCGTGGGCTACAATTGAGAAGATTGAAGGGGAGGAAAAGCAAGATCAAGGAAACTATCCTGCTCAACATCTGGACGGGTGACGAAACTGCGGGTGAGGCCGTACAAGTCAACACTGCGCGCAACAAGACACCAAGCGGGCCTTGTCGGCTGAATGAAGGCCAGCGTGTACCATCTCGGTCCTTCCCACCCCGATGTGTAAACAAATGGAGGGTATCGATCCGACCAACTGCATTGGAGGAGACGGCCATCGATCGCATGGTGTACGGGCTCGCTGGGCATACCAAAATCCAGTGACCAGAGCTGGCTGTGGGACGCAGTCGCATGTTTACCTGGCCAAAGGAACGCACATATCAAGTGTTTCGCGGTCTGTAGAGAGGCCTGCGGCGCAGTCACGGGAACTCTCCGCCACCTTCATCGTACAAGGAAATTACCACGGCCTTGCAACCCTTAGACACGACCCATCAACGAATGACCTCTCCGTGCGGTGTACAGGGGATCAAAGAGTTCTGCAAGGAGTACGGTAAAAAGGATACATGCAAGGGTGCTGCATGGGTCTCGGCGGCTGTACGAGCATCGCAAGCATGGGGGCGACATGTCTGTAGACGACCTGAAGGTATCGAGAGCTGCTGCGCGACATGTTGGTACGGCGCAACAATAAGAGGCATAGGACATAGATCACGAAATAATGTGAACAGAAGAGAGAGCGCACAAGAAACAGGAGCCACTCGCAACTTTTAACATGTATCACTGTGGGCCACCGAAAGTCGCTCCGAAATGACTGTCTGCACTGTTCTAAAACAGCCACAGCTGTACTGCGCGTGTGAATTAGCAGTGCTCGTCCCCGCGGTGTGAGGGTGCGGCAACAGCATTCGCTAATCGCTTCGAGATCACTTGTGTTCGAACTTGGGCGCTGCCCCGATTCATTCACGCGTCCGTGGCTTTACCTGCCAGGCCTGGTGTAATCGCGTACTTGATCTAATCACTCGTCGCTGTGAAACCCCAACTGCGACCATAATAGCCTACCTTTGGGCGTCCCATAGCTTGAACCAAGTGCACCGAAAGCACAGTCATTGCATGTGCTGCCGCTGGCTTTCGCTATGTTTCCGCCGATTTCCGTTGGGACGCACATCTTGACCTACACTTACTCAATATTTCTGTCGTTTTATTATTTTTTATGTTTATTCAGTTGTTATATATTTTTTATCTTGGCCCGAGAGCCTCTCCCTTACGGGCCTTGGCTCCTGCCCCCTGCGGCTCCCCCCCTCGTGGACCTGCCCTGGAGCTCGGAGCCCGGTGCCCCCCCCCTGGCTCTGGACCCCCTCCTCCCTGCCCGCTCCCTCTGAAGGGGCCCTGGGACACACAAATAGATACACACTAATAAAAAGATTCCCCATAATTTCCCATATTTTCTGGGTTTTTGCCTTTCCCCCCACCTCCCATAGTTTCCCATATTGTCGGGGGAATCGACGATCGATCGTGTATGTGTGCTTTTCCCCCTCCTGAGCCTCAACCATCTGATCCCGTTCGCTCCGATGCTCGTTCGTCGTCGGCCCTCCCTGGCCCCGCCCCGTGCACTGGCCCCTCCCCGCGCCCGAGCACCAGGCCCTCCCCCTGGCCCAGGACGCCTGCCCCCTGGCCCCGCCTCCCGGCCCATCCCCCATGGCCAGCGCCCGCGCCCCTCCTCCCCTTGGGCCCCGGAGCCCTTCCCTCCCGTCCTTGTCTCAAGTCGAGCACGTCCCTCTACAGGAGGAATATTCCAAAATAGCCAAAAAATATTATGGGGACGATTCTCCTTGAAATGTCTAACCATGTGTGAACATCGGTTGACCATGTTTAATGTGTCCTCCAAACTCCGCCTGTTGGGGGGGCATGCCCTAACTACCGAATCCTCGTCGTCGTCCGTTGGTCCTCGGCTTTCCTCGCCCCGAGACTGGCGCCTCCCCTGGCCCCTGGCCCCTGGACCCCGCGCCCCGGCCCCCGCGCCCCGGCCCCCGCCCCCAGCCATGGGGGTCCGTCGCTCTCCTGCACGCCCGGGTATGTCCTCCTCTCATCCTCCTCTCTCCTCCTCCTCCTCCTCCCCCTCCTCCTCCTCCTCCTCCTCCTCCTCCTCCTCCTCCTCCCTCCTCCCTCCTCCTCCCTCCTCCTCCTCCTCCTCCTCCCCTCCTCCTCCTCCTCCTCCTCCTCCTCCTCCTCTCCTCTCCTCTCCTCCTCCTCCTCCTCCTCCTCCTCCTCCTCCTCCTCCTCCTCCTCCTCCTCCTCCCTCCTCCTCCTCCTCCTCCTCCTCCTCCCCGGGCCCTTCTATTTTTTCGTCGGCCGTGGCTCGTCTGCCCACACCCCCGCCTCCCCGAGATGGCCCCACGAGGGCGACGGGATATGGCCGCGAGAGCCGCCCCCCCTTCGGCTGGCGCTGCTCCCCAGTGCAAGCTCCAGAGTGCGTGCGCCACCTGCTTTCGTTTCGACGTCGTCGTCGTCGGTCGGTCGGTCGGTCGGTCGGTCGTTCGTTCGTTCGTTCGTTCGTTCGCCGCCGTTCGTCCTCTCCCCAGCTCCAGCACTGACCCGCGCCCCCCCGCAGCCCCGCACGCCTGCATCCTCGCCTGGCCCGCGCCCCTCGGTCGCCTCTTGGCCCTGGAGCCACGTCTCCCCCCCTCGGGCCCTGCGCTCGGACGCGCTCGACGTACACGCCAGGCCGTGCGGTCGGCCCCAGGGGCTCGGCGTCTACGATCGGCAACTGTTGCTCGACGTGCCGCGGCGGCGGCCCTGGCGACACCCTGTGCCCTGCCAGCGGATAGCGAAGTGCTCCGCTCCACGAGGCTGGAGGCTGGGGAAGGCTCGGGACGCTGACGCCCAGGGGCCGCGACGTGGACAGCGTGTCGCGCCGAAGCGCGGTGGGCCCGAGCTGGCGGCCCGACGCGCTATCGGCTCGCAGCGACACGATAGCGTGTCGCGCCGAAGCGCGGTGGGCCGAAGTTCCCGACCGTAGACGCCCCACCTACCCAACATGCGGGGTGCTGGGGAGTCCACGCATCCACCGAACTCCTTCGCCGAACTCGCTGGCTCCGTGGCCGACCAGACGACGCGGTGTATGCATCGAACCCCGCCGACCTGCTCCCCCTCGCCGCCCCCCTGCAAATCTGTGCTGTTGAGCTCGGAGCCATATGGTTCCCCCTCCACGCCTGTGCTCCACCTAGAATGTGCCCCGAGCCCTCCGGCTTCGTTCCGTCCACGCTCCGTTCGTCATGTGCCCCGAGCCCTTCGGCGTCGTTCCGTCCACGCTCCGTTCGTCGTTGGTCGTCCTCGCCCCCCCCCTCCCTCCCCGTCACTGGCCCTGGCCCCTCTCCGCTGGTCCTGGAGCCTCCCCCTCGCCCGCGCCCTCGCGCCCCGCGGGCCCCCCCGACGTCGCTCCCTCTCCTCCGCGGGGGGCGCACGCGGCTTCGCTTGCGGCCCAGGCGTGCCCGCACCACGCGCCGAAGGAATGAGTGCGAGGCGCCAGGCTCTGCTGATGGGCTCCGCCCCGCCTCGTGGCCCCCCCCCCCTTCTCGCTGTCGTCCTCATCCTCGCCCCCCTTTCTCGGCCTCCTCCCCCTCTCCCTCCCCCCCCCCCTCCTCCTCCTCCTCCTCCCGTGTGTGGGGAGTGCCTCGATCACGGTTCGTCGATTCTCCGTTCGGTCGGCCGCCTCGGCCGGCGACCCGGGGATGGAGGTTCCCACAGCTTACGTCGATCACAATTCGTCGATTCTCCGGTCGGTCGGCCGCCTCGGCCGACGACTGTTTAGATTGCCACGGGAGGCCAGGATTTGGAGCGAGGGGCCCAGGGGATGACCTCCTGTGGTGCAGCAGGCTTCACGTGAGGAATACATCGCGTCTCAAGTGCATCCTGGTTTCTGCTGTGTTGTGCGGTGCGTGAGGCAGGGCATGGCATAGCATTGAGTAGTGGCGCTGGCGGTGCAAAGTAGTAATTCGGTCGAGGACCTTGGCTCAAAGCCCTGGCCGAGTGCCGCAGGGAAGTCCCTATCGAGACAATTTGTGGGGACTTCTTGAGGACCTGAGGCACAATTGTTTGGTGCATTCGGTCGGCACCAATTCGCCTCAGAAGCGCGGGGAGCGTGGCAACACCATCCCCGCGCCAATTTTATCTTTGTCCTGTTTGGCGCAAGGCTCGACGTCCGAGCGAGGAAAACATGCCCGAGCAGAGGAGCAACGAAGCGCGGCAACGCCGTTTGCTCCTCCGTCTCTCTCGTACTTGTGACACCCTCCTCAGGTTTAGGTTTCATCTCCCGATCGACGATATTCTTCATAATCCTTTTCCCATACCTCGTTTCAGAGCCTGGGATATCCTTCGTCTTATAACACAGGGAGTGAGTACAGAAGAACTGGCACAGGAAGAAGATCAATGAATAACGATATTATGTATTTTGCGCGGCCGTTCGTGGACCAGCCCCCGCTGCTGTCCACAAGCCCCCCCCTCCTCCTTCTCCTCCTCCTCCTCCTCATCCTCCTCCTCCTCCTCCTCCTCCTCTTCCACCTCCTCCTCCCCGAGGGCGAGGAGGAGAGGATCGGGACTGCCTCCGCTCTCTTCCGCTTCCACGCCCCCTACACGCGCTGCGAGTGGACAGCCACACACCGTGAGTAGTTTCCCGAGCTACGTGATCCTCTTCCTCCTCCTCCTCAGAGGCAGGGGAGGTGAGGATGAAGTGGAGGGCGGTCGTGCAGCGCGAATTAGACATGAGTTGGCTCGTTCGTGCACTTGATGCCCGATGGCGCGGCCTCAGCCTTGCGTGCCGCAGGCCGCTTTGAAGCAGGGCATGTGGCAACAGCTGCTTCCCTGAAGCTGGCGGCACATTGGGAGTACCATGGCACGCTGCAGGATAGATCGTAGCGGAGAGCAGTTCGGAATGCTAGTTGTTGTGTGTTGTTGCTTGTTTCTCTCTCTCTCTCTCTGTCTCTCTCTCTCTCTCTATCTCTGTCTTCGTGGGTGCTGCTGGTTGAGAAAGACAACGTTTGCCCACATATGCCAGGGACCATCAACAACACAATTGGAGCATCAGGGAATACATGAGCGGTTCCTGTTGGAAGACGTAATGACAGTGAGTGTAGGAGTCAGAGAGACGCCACGAAAGGGAAGCTTGCGACAAAGCTTCATTATAATCGGACAACACATGCAAGCACGACCATACGACATCACCGAAATCTATACACAAAAACCGATGCTGGCCATACCTGTCTGTACGGTGCGGCCATCAAGATACTCGCACGGATTATGCGACTAACTCTCCACGCACGTCGGCGTGTACATCCAGGGCCTACCCACGCATTGCAGCGTATAAACTCAACCTGCGGAACAACTACCAGATGAGCGGCGGATATGCGCCCAAGCTTCACTTTGCCGCTCACAATATAGAATGGGTAGCCCGCTGAGGATGTGTGCGAGGGGAAGACGCGGTTGGCGCAGGGGAGGCGATGAAGCTTCAGATGGGAGACGCTGGAGAGGAGAACGAGATAGAAAGCTCAGATGGCATTGCTTGGAGCCGAGATCCAGTATCGCAAGTGAGACATCAAAGCTTCACTTCCACCCGTCCGATCATCTCTCAGCGATTGCCAACGTGGACCCCGAACAGTGGATTTTTGCACTCTCGATCTTCAACATAAGCCGTCTGTGCGGTGCACCCCATGCGGCGCATGCGAGTGCACCACCTACGCAGTGCACCAGCCACAAGATCACCAGGTCGAGGACGAGAATCGCAGCAAGCGGGGCATCTTTAAGGACAAGCCACAGAGCATCTACCACAGAGCACCCGGGCGAGAACGAAGACATTTGACACCGGCCACGCAGCACCACTCACAGGGAACCATTGCGAGAACGAGCAGTCGCAACACTGACGGCTTCAGAGGGCACTAGCCATAGAGCACGAACGGTACGGCAACAGGGCGAGAGCGAGTAACAGCACCGTTCAAAGCACCATGGAGCACAAGGCAAGCAAGGAGCACCACCCACAGGGCACCAGGGCAAGAACGAGCAAACCCCGAACCCCGACCGTTGACATATCATAACAACACCAACCCTAGATAACCACTACTTGGACACCCAGGCGAGAACGAGAAACTCGCAACAGTTGAGACATCACAGCGCGTAAACGAGAGAGCACGGCCCGTGGTACCATGGCAATGATGCGAAAATTACAGCTATTCAGACATGAGATGGCACCAGCCATAGAGCACCACCCCGCAAGTGCCAGGACAAGAACGAGAAAGTCGCAGCCTTTGAAAGGCACCATGGACCAGCAGCAATAAAGCACCACCCGTCGGGCACCAAGGCAAAGGAACGATTCGAGACTTTTGTGGCGCAATAACACACTGGCCAAACAGCACCAACCACATGGAGCACCAGGGCCGCCACGAGACAATCGAGAACTGTGAAGCACTATAGTGCACCAGCCAAAACGCACCGCATAGGAAACATGGCACCAACCAGATGGCATCACCCATGTGGCAACCGCCATGGAATAACGAGACAATCGTGGCATCTTCGGCACTATACGGCACGGTCATAAAGCACCACCCACAAAGCACCAGGGCAAGAGCAGGCAAGCCGAGACCCTGAGGACACCATAGGGTGGCAGTCGTATAGAGCACCACCCATAGAGCACCTATGGCACCCGGCGAGAACGATAACATTCCGACCGTTCACATGTCCCAGGGCACCACCCACAGAGCGCCACCCATAAGGCACCAGGGCAAGAGCGAGAACATCGTGACCTCTAAAGCAGCACACGGCACCAGGAATACAGCACCAACCAGATGTAGCGCAGCATGCCAACAAGAATAGCACCGCGACCTTCAGAGCATCGTAGCACAAACGCCATGGAGCACCACCCACAGATCAGCAGGGCAAGAACGAAACAACCACGACCTTCGAGACAATAGTGCACGAACACTAGGACACCACTCGTACCGCATCAAAAAACAATTATCCGGGCGAAGGACCCAACCATACGCAAGTTTGAGAACCGCAAGGCAGGTGGGACGAAGCAAGGGGAAATCCCAATGGGGCCACAAACCGTGTGAGGGGTGCGCCAAAATGGAAGCCGCCATGCGAACTCTGCCACTGGGGCCTTCGGTGGAGCTCCCTATGGGGTCACGAACCATGTGAGGGGTGCGCCAAAATGCGGGGCCGCCATGCCAACCCTGCCACTGGGGCCTTCAGTGGAGCTCCCTACGGGGCCACGAACCGTGTGAGGGGTGCGCCAAAATGGTGCGGGGCCGCCATGCGAAACCTGCCAACAGGGCCTTCGGTGGAGCTCCCGATGGTGCCATGAACCGTGTGAGGGTACGCCAAATCTAAATGGGGCCGCCATGCGAACCCTGCCACTGGGTCCGTCGGTGGAACCCCCTATGGGGCCACAAACCGTGTGAGTGGTGCGCCAAAATGGCGCGGGGCCGCCATGCGAACCCTGCCACTGGGGCCTTCGGTGGAGCTCCCTATGGGGCCACGAACCGTGTGAGTGGTGCGCCAAAATGGTGCGGGGCCGCCATGCGAACCCTGCCACTGGGGCCTTGGGTGGAGCTCCCTATGGTGCCATGAATCGTGTGAGGGGTGCGCCAAAACGAAACGGGGCCGCCATGCGAACCCTGCCACTGGGGCCTTCGGTGGAACCCTCTACGTGGGTGAAACGCAAGGGGAAAGGAGGAATGGGAGGAGGGAGGAGGGGGAGGAGGAGGGAGGAAGGAGGACGAGAACGCGGGGACCGTCTCTTCAAAACGAAAACCCAACACCACAAGATGGTTGGGAACAAAATAGAATCGCGACCGTCACAGCGCCATACGACGCAAGCCATATGACACCACCAACAAGGCACAGATGCAACAACAAGAAAACCACCACCGTGAAGGCATAGATCACAGGTCTTATTTAGGACGCCAGGGCAACAATGAGAAAGTCGCGGCCTTCAACAAATCATAGGGGCCACGTGTGGGGCACAAGGTCGAGACAAAGAACTTCACATCAGACCACAATTACTTCCGCACACATTCGGTACTATTGGTTCAAAGACTATTTCGGAATTAGGGCGCTCGGCATAACACACCACTCATAGGGCACCAGGGCATCAATGATAACGCCGCGACCTTTAAGGCATCACAGAGCATCCATGGCGATGCATCGGCGACGTCGGCGTAGAGAAAATCGGGCTCCGCATCGAGACGCATCGCCGATGCATCGGCGATGCGGCGCGATCCTCCGACCCCATCTACTCGGATCCCATCTAGGAGGCCTAGATTCTTGAGAGCGAATTCAGATACCATTCGTGCAAGCACTGTTTGGGTAAAACGCTTGCGAACGCCTCAGCGCGTTCTCGTTCGCTAGGTTCACAGGTTTCGTCGTGAAGTGCAGAGCTGCTCGTACTGGACCTCTGGTACCCTGCAAAACTACCACTAACCTCAGGCACCAGCCTTCGCCGGGCCCTTCGATGGTTTCAAATCCATCGGCTGACAGCACGACACACCCTTGCGCACATCGTCGTGGATGTCTCCTCCGACCATCGGCTTGGTGGCAGTGACGTACGCGCTTGTGACGTATTTCTCGGCCCCGCTGTCGGGCATCCATCCTTTGATGATGTCCGCCGCGTTTTCTTTTATCTGTATCTTGATGTCAGTGAAGCCAGCATTGATCAGCATCTCCTTCATTTCGTCCTCCGCAGAGGCCCCTGCAACTCAGCACGCGTAGCTCTCCACCGTCTTCAGCTCCTGTAGGGGTGGCGCGAAAAGGCATCATCAACTCTGGATGTCTGGGGAAGACTACAAGCGTCATTCTCGCGCGGACAGAATGCGGTTGAGCAAACTCCTCCGCCTCATGTTCCTCCTCATTTTCCCCCAAATCCTCCTCCACATTATCCCTCCTGCCAGTCCTCTTCACTCTTCCTCCTCCCCCCTCGTCGTCCTCCTCCTCATCCTCCTCCTCCTCCTCCTCTTCCTCCTCCTTCTACAAATGCGATGGCCGCTATCGTTCTTACTACTACTACCACTACTATTACTACTACTACTACTACTACTACTACTACTACTACTACTACTACTACCACTACCACTACTACTACCACTACTACTACAAGGGTCAAACCGCACCTTCGTGTCTACTGAAAATGAATGGGTAAGGGTAAGGGTTCGGGTTCGGGTTCGGGTTCGGGTGCGGATGCGGGTTCGGTTCCACACAATCAATTAAAACCAAATAGAATAACATAGAATAGTCGGAGTATAATCGTACACGAAGCAGGAGTTCGGAAACCCACAATTTCGCCATTCGCTGATAGGAAAACAATACAGGGGGCTATAGAGCTAATAGTACACGAAAATGAAGTTCGGAAGCCCACTGATTCTAATAGTACACGAAGAAGGGGTTCGGGAACCCACAATTTCGCCGTTCGCTCGTAAGAAAACAATACAGGGGCTATAGAGCCAATAGTACACGAAGGTGAGGTTCGCAAACCCATTGTGGAAAACGGGAAAACAGCGTTCCTCTTTTCCTGTTCGCTTTGCTTTCCCGAATAAAACCAGAACGACGTCCTTATGAAAACCCACTCTCAAGTGGACCAGAGGGCCACGATCCTCGTGAGGGGTGTTCCGGCATTGGGCGTCGGTGGCCGTCGGCAGCGCTCCACATTGGGTCAGGGCCACGATCCATGTGAGAGGTGTGCCGAACTTCAGCGTCGGGCGGCGATCCAAATGTGGCGAGGTCTACGATCCGTGTGAGGGGTGCACCGATATTGCTCATCGGTGGGCCGTCGGCAGCGCTCCCAGGTGGGCCAGGACACGATCCTCGTGAGCGGCGTGCCGGAATTGGACGTCGGTGGGCCTTCGGCAGCGCTCCCACTTGGACCAAGGCCACGATCCTAGTGAAGTGCGCGCCGGAATCGCGCGTCGGAGGGCCAGGCCCACGATCCTCGAGAGGGTTGTGCCGAAATGAAGCGGCTGGCAGTGGCGGTTGCTCCAAATCCGACGTCGACACGAAGGACAGGTGTAAACCTGACGTTTTTTGTTCACTTTCTAATACGAATCCAATCTACAGCCTCTACAGCGAATAGTGCACGAAGGTAGGCATTGGCGCGAAAGACACGAAGGCCAGGTTTGAAACTACGGTTTTCGTAATTCCCCTGGTAGGAGTTCTATTAGGCCTGATACAAAAGAAGAGTACACGAAGGTGAGGTTTGTAGCGACACGAAGACCAGGTGCAACCCTACTAGTACTACTACGACTACTACGACTACTACTACTATTACTACTACTACTACTACTACTACTACTACTACTACTACTACTACTACTACTACTACTACTACTAGTACTAGTACTACTACTACTACTACTACTACTACTACTACTACTAATGCGGCGACTACTACGCCTACTACTGCAACTGCTACTACTACTACTACTAGTACTACTACTACTTACTCTACCATACCAGCTACCACTAACTATACTACTACTACTACTATTTCTGACTACTACCACTACTACTACTTACTACTACAAACTACTATACTACTACTACTCCTACTGTGGTATTAACTGATACTTACTATTAAAAATACCATACCACTACTTGTGAACTACTATATACTACTACTTACTACTACTCTACTATATAACTACTACTACTTACTACGATACTACTATTACTACTTTACGACTACTACTACTACTCTTCTACTACCATACTACATCTACTACTCATTATCTCTACTACTATACTACTACTATTATATTTACTACTACTACTACTACTACTACTACTACTACTACTACTACTACTACTACTACTACGACCACCACCACTACCACTACCACTACCACTACTACTACTACTACTACTACTACTACTACTACTACTACTACTACTAGTAGTACTACTACTACTACTACTACTACTACTACTACTACTACGACTACTACTACTACGGTGGCCTGGGCTTGGAAAACCTGGAGGGAACCTGCCAGGGCTCGACAGCATGGAAGGGCTGGCCCCGGCCACTCTTCGCAAACTCCCCGTGCTCGGGTGGACTCGGATGAGAGGGAGGGCCGGGATTCTGGCGGCGAGCGCAGCGCCTCGAGGTGCCCCCGAGCTGCCCCCAAAGGTGCCTCGGAGGAGCCCCGCGCGCGCCCCCCAATGTTGTGAACCAGAAACTTCTCGCCCTCGTGGGCGATCTTGGGCGCCTCTTGGGCCGTTTGGGTGCCCTCCTGGACCGTCTTGGGGGCCTCGTGGGCCGTCTTGGGCCGTCTTGGGGCGGTCTTGGGGACCCCTGGGGCCACATCAGAGCGTCGGAAGCCCGGAAACGCGCGAACGCGAAAGTTATCGAACAGGGCAAGGAAAATCAATGATGTTTGCCTCTTTGGGCCCTCTTAGGGGTCCTCTTGGAGCGCTCTTGGGGCTTCTTTGGGGCCTCTGCCCGCAATGCAGCGATGTGGTACCGAAGTCGGCGTTGGTAGTACTGATTCCGTCGGCAGGGAAGGGCCTTGTGCCGAACAGGAGGCGCGTTAGATCGGGGGTGGCCCGGGGCGAAGCGAAGGGGGGGGATAGGGGAAAGGAGGGGCGGGCCAGCGAGGAAAGCAGAAGCAGCGGCAGAAGATAGACAAGCGCGTTCTACGACTAGCAAATTAACTACTCGCAAATGGCCTGGATCCGCCATGGGGGATTCGCGACACCTTACATCGAAGCAAACATGTGTTTTCGGACGTTTGCGAGTAGGCATTTTGCGAGTAGTGGAACGCGCTCGGTGAGAAGAGGGAACCAGGGGGAAGAGAGGGAGCTAGAAGGATACAGGGGGAAGCGGGCCAACAACGGAAGACCCAGGATCCGTAGTACGGGGCATGGAGTTTGCAGTACGAAGCCACGAACTTCGAAAAGCCCAAGACGCTTACAAAAAAACACCCCGTAGAACGGTACTGGACGAACAGAACTGTGTCCGACCCCTCATGGGGCGAGCTCCACCTTCCCGCGCGTTGCGAAGAAGAAGAAGAAGAAGAAGAAGAAGAAGCCAAACGCCGATTAAAACGTAACATCGGAATGAGTCTGCCGACCCCCTGCTGGGAGTAGTCTGAGGGCGCGCCGCTGCCATGCGCAACGCAAGCCCATACCAGAACGTACGGGTAAGCATCCTGAAAGGACTTCGGGTCGTTGCACAGGGGGCAGGGGTCGCAGTCTGTCACCCGAACTTTGCGTTGGAGCACCGGCAGCGCTGCTCGTCCTCCCGCCTCGGTCCAATTGGCGAACGGTGCGTCCGCCCCGCCGTGACGCATGACCGACACGCCAGAAGAAAGGGGCGGCCGCTTCCAGCCTCAGCCCACGGCACGGACCGCACACCTCAGATCGACACCGTTCGGGGCACCTCTTCGAGCCACCGTCGACGCGTCCAAGTTCGGCGGTGGACAAACCTCCCTTTCGTAAACCCCCCCTTAGCGAAAACGGACTGGGACCGAAACCGACGG